CAGCGGCCGGGAGAGCTGCGATGCGGGAGCCCTTGGGCACAGGCCTGGCACTGCGGGCGGCGGGACGGTCTGCTTCCAGGCGGGTGTGAGCACCCGCTCACTGGTGAACTGAGGTGCGGTTCTAAAACAAGTGCAGAAATAAAGCCGCCCACACACCCGGAGGGACCCACAGTACCCCCAAGTTGCCTCCACCTGCCCTGCAGCCGGGGGTCAGGACGGCTGCAATGGTCCCCCCAGGGCTGAGTCGGCCCGGCTCCCTCCCCCCACCAGGGGCCTTGCAGGAAAATGGGGGTGGCACCAGGACAGTGTCCCCAGCACGGGGTAAGTGAAGAGCAAGGCGCCCCCTACCCTCCCAGACGACATTCGGGGCCGGTGGGGGTCAGACACTAAAGCCCTGCAGGACAGTTAGCCAAGGTCATTCCTAGGACAAATGTCAGAGCCTTCGCCCAAATATCCCTGGTCCCCAGGCTCATGCTAGGTACTTGACCGTGGTCGCAGACTGACCCCCAGTCCCAACTTGAACCCTCAAGGACTCTGGGCACCCCCCGGAACCCCACTTACTCCTAGACATGGTCCCAGGTCCCACTGCCATCCAAGCCCTCAGGGTAGTCTGTGTTCCTGAGACACTGTCAGGTGGTGTGGCTTGTGCTCCTGGCCCAGGAGGTGCAGGTGAGAGAAGCAGGCAAACTGCCCACCCCAGGGGCCAGCAGAGCTCGGGGCCAGGTGGGAGGGACGTGCCTGGGTCCCGCAGCCCCGCCCCCAGGATCCCCGAGGCTCCTCAGTGCTGTTCACGATGTCAGTCATGCATACTCCTCGGGGTCCTGGGAAGTCAGCTTCCACATATGACAGGTGTGAGCAGAGACAGATGCCACCTGCTTCCAGCCATAAGCAGCACCCACTCCCTCAGGTCCTCCCATAGCCAGGGGGGTCGCTGAGGAGGGGACCCACCAGGACCTGAGGGGTGACTGCCTCCCTAGCAGCGGGTGAGGGCAGGGCGGGGGGGTGGCTGGGGAGCCCGCCCACCTGGGGAGCAGCCCCAAGGGCTTGTACTCTCGGGTTGTCATCGCTTATTTTCTAAATGTCCATGAAATGCTTCCTTAGTGAAGGACATTTGGAAATACTAAAGCATTTAGAAGAGAGCAGATAACCAGGAACCTCAAGGACCGTGGGGCTGGGCGCAGTGTCTGTGGGGCTGGGCACACCTGCCCTACACCGGCATCTGCACGTCTTCAAGCCGCTGCTGCGTGTTCCGTGTGTGTGTGTGTGTGTGTGTGTGTGTCCACCAGAGTTTTCATAATGATCTCCTTTTCTTCCTATTTTACTGAAAGGCAGCGGGAAGGGCTCACTCACACAGGGTCCCCACATGCCTTACTGAACCCCCAAGGGATGGGGCTGAGAAGCTCCTGCCCTTCATTTGATCTGTGATTATTCAGGTACTGGGGGGAGGGGGGACCCCTCAGCCTGACCTGCGCCCTCTCGCAGTCTGGGACCCCTCGGGGGATGTCCACCTGCCAGCTTAGTCCCGGTCCCTCAGGGGATGTCCACCTGCCAGCTTAGTCCCGGTCCCTCAGGGGATGTCCACCTGCCAGCTTAGTCCCGGTCCCTCAGGGGATGTCCACCTGCCAGCTTAGTCCCGGTCCCTCAGGGGATGTCCACCTGCCAGCTTAGTCCCGGTCCCTCAGGGGATGTCCACCTGCCAGCTTAGTCCCGGTCCCTCAGGGGATGTCCACCTGCCAGCTTAGTCCCGGTCCCTCAGGGGATGTCCACCTGCCAGCTTAAGCCAGCAGTCACACATCCCTCTCGCAGTCCTGGCTCTCGCAGTCTGGGACCCCTTGTTCCCCGCCTGCCTGTAGCGGAGGTGGGAAAGGCTCCCGCCATCGCCACTGCGCTCGCCAGCCAGCGCAGCTGTGAACCCGGCTTCTGGCTGATCGGCGCTCCCCCTGTGGGAGGGTACTGACCACCAGGAGGCAGCCCCTGCATTGAGCATCTGCCCCCTGGTGGTCAGTGCTCATCATAGCGACCGGTCATTCCGCCAGTTGTTGCACCGTTTGGTCGATTTGCATATTAGGGCTTTATTATACAGGATTGTGACCAGTCAGCCTGCTGCTGGCTGATATGCAGGCGTGGCCCTGCGGGGTCTGATTAGCTCTGAGCCCTTCTGAGGTGCCCACAAGGGTCAGGGAGGCCAGCCTGGCATCTGGGCCTGAGCTTCCTGCCCTGAGGCTTGATTCCGCCCCCCCTTTTATTCAGAGAGCATCTGGCTGGGAGGAGGGACCTCACAAGAAATAAATCTGCACGTGGATGAGCCACCAAGGGGAGGGGGTGTCAGGGTTGGGGTGCTGGGTCCATTGGAGCCATGCTTTGGCCTGGTCACCTGTCTGTCCTCCGCTGGATGGCCGAAGCCTTTGGTCCCTGAGGGGTGAGGGGCTCTGTGTGAACCAAGACCCACTGGGCCACACCAGTCCCTGCTCACTCCACTCTCGCTCCTGGGCTCCAGGCAGTTCTGAGACCCCCCCCCCGGCCACACACACACGTCTGCGGCCACCAGGGCTCTGCGTGGACCTCAGGCGTGCACGGCCCTCGCACTAAAAGCAAGTGGATGGGTCCACGTGCCGCAGCCCTGTGCTAGGAAGAGCTCACCTCCTCCATCCGAGGCTCATCTCAGAGAAGGATGAGGGTGTCAAAACTCACTCAGCCAGCTGCTGCCTCGGCCTGTCCGCTTGAGTGGTTGGCTGCTGCCTGGAGTGGGACAGGACCCCATAGAACCCCTCACCCCACAGGACAGGACCCCACGGAGCCCCTCCGTGCGCCTCAGAACTGCCCTCCCACCTCCATGCAGAGGACGACAGCTGGTCCTGGAAGCCCC